GAGAGAGGGACGATGAGAGAGAGAGAGGAGAGAGCGAGAGATATGAGAGAGACGAAACGAGGAGAGATTAGCAGATGAGAATTGAGCGAAGCAAGACGCCTCGAGAGAGGAGACGGTTGACGAGGAGGACGAATTAGGCGAGCCGAGAGATAGAGAGCAGGCAGCACGAGATTATACGAGAGAGAGATAGTACGAGAGAAAGGAGCCGAGACGATAGGAGAGAGGAGAGAGAGAGAGCAAGAGGAGAGCGACGAGGGAGGAGAGAGAGAGAGGAAGGGAGAAGGAGGAGAGAGAGAGAGGAGCAAGAGAGAGGGGACGAGAGGCAGGAAGAGAGAGAGAGAGAGAGAGGAAAGGCAGAGAGAGAAGGAAGAGGAGAGAGAGAGGAGAAGAGAAGAGGAGAGAAGAGGAGAGGAGAGAGTGAGAAGAGGAGAGAGAGCGAGGAGACGAACGAGAGAGAGAGAGAGGAGGAGGAGAGGAGAGGAGAGAGGAGAGGAAGAAGCAGGAGAGAGAGAATGAAGAGGAGAGAGAGCAGAGGAGAGAGAGCAGGAGACGAGAGGAGAGAGAGAGAAGAGAGAGAGAGAGAAGAGAGGGAGAAGAGAGCAGGGAAGAGAGAGAGGGAGCGGAGGAGCAGAGAGAGAGAGAGAAGAGGGAGAGAAGAGAGAGGAGAGAAGAGAGAGAGGAGAGGAAGGAGAAGGAGGGGAGAGGAGAGAAACGAGGAAGAGGAGAAGAGAGAGGAGAGAAGGAGGGGAGGCTAGAGCAGAGAGAGAAGAGAAGGGGAAAGAGAAGAGAGGAGAGAGAGTGAGAGGAGAGAGAGAGAGAGGAGAGGAGGACCAGAAGGAGAGAGAGAGAGACAGAGAGAGGGAGGAGAGAGAGGAGGGGGAGCAGAAGAGAGAGAGACGAGACCCTGCGAGAGAGATGGCAGAGAGAGAGAGAGAGAGAGACGTGGTTGAGAGAGAGAGACGGGGACGAGGAGAGGCGACGCAGAGAGAGAGAAGGATGAGAGACGAGAGAGAGGACGAAAGAGAGAGACGAGAGATCGAAGAGGAGAGAGGAACAGAAAAAGAGCTGAGAGCGAAGGAGAGAGAGAGAGAGAGAGATGCAGAGAGAGAGAGATGGGGAAGAGAAGAGCAGAGAAGAGCAGAAGATAGAGAAAGGAGAAGACTGAGAGAGATGAGAGAGGAGAGAGAGAGAGAGATAGAGACGAGAGGAGAGAGAGGAGGAGGAAGAGAGAGAGAGAGAGAGAGATAGAGGAAGAGACGAGAGACGACGGAGACGATGAGGGAGGAGAGAGAGAGCAGAGACGAAGGCGAGACGAAAAAAGACTGCGACGAGCGAGAGAGAGAGAGAGCAGAAGAAAGACGATGAGACGAGAGATACCACCTGTGACGTGAGAGTAGAGCAGAGAGAGAGAGAGCACTTGAGAGAGGGAGAGATCGTGGAGAGAGACAGCATGAGAGAGAGACGAGCAGAGAGGGAGAGAGAGAGGAGAGCCGCGCCGCGAGAAAGGCAGACCACTAACTCTTTCTTTCCCCCCTTCGCTCTCTCTCTCTCTCTCTCTCTCTCTCTCTCTCTCTCTCGCACGCGCGCGCGCTCTCTCTCTCTCTCTCTCTCCCTCGCACGCGCGCGCTCTCTCTCTCTCGCTCTCTTTCTCTCGCTCTCGCCCTTTCTTTCTCTCCCGCCGATCTCACTCTCTCTCTCTCGCACGCGCGCTCTCTCTCTCGCACGCGCGCTCTCTCTCTCTCGCACGCGCGCTCTCTCTCTCTCGCACGCGCGCTCTCTCTCTCGGACGCGCGCCCTCTCTATCTATCTCTCTTTCGCGCGCTTTCTATCTATCTCTCTCTCTCGCGCGCAGGCGCTCTCTCTCTCTCTCGGTGTATGCGTGCGTGCGTGCGTGCGTGCGTGCGTGTGTGCGTGCGTGCCTGTGCGCGTGTGTGCTCAGTCTCGGGTGTGTGCGTGCGTGCCTATGGTGCGTGCATACCCAAGGGCCCTGTCTTTCCAGCGCTCCTAGCGTCAGCGCGATCGAAGCGCCCCTACCAGTCACCACCAACAAACAATGGTCGTTCGTCCAACAACAAACTATGGATGAAAATGTCATCAGGAAACGGTAGAAACTAGAAATAATATAAACAGTGAATTTTATTTTCATGAATATTGTGTGAATAAGATCTATGATGCTTGTCGTCTCAATAAGCATTTTACAATTGAAACCAACTACGTACTGAACTAGGCTATTAGTATTAATAGTATTACTGAGTATCCTGCTATTACTACAGACTACAGTAGGTCCTACGGTATTACTACGGCTGAGAGGGTCTATGTCCCCCGGGGTACTGCCGGACCGTACCCAAGGTACGTTCCGGCAGTACCCTGGGGGACATAGACCCTGTGAGCATTACTCCGGTACAACGGCACCGTGCACGAAGGGTCGTTGTCGTATAATGGCGTATAATATGTACCCGATGTAACTATTTGATATTGGTTAGGGTTAGGGAGTAGGCGTAGGCGACATACTCGCCGACACCTCGTGTACTATACTCAGGTACATATATAAGGTAGTCTGTCTCTACCCGTGATCGTGTTAGTGCCAATAGTGGTTACGCGTGAGGGTGTGTGTTACCACAGGAACTTGAAGCGTTTCAACTGTAAACACACGCCGCCCCCATTGCGCGCACACTGACACATAAATATATAGCAGGTGAGAAAGCGCGATCCCAAAAATTCGCTCGACGCTCGCTGCATTTCTCACGATTTTAACACAAATATACATCCAACAGCTTCCATCTTTAATTGTTTCTCCTTTAAGAACAGTGTTAACTTGTTATAAAAACATAATGTCTCTGTTCGTAACCGAGCTGTGTCACGCGAAATCACACAAAGACTGACGAAATTCTCGCGTTCGCTAGCACTGCGCACGGATGTTAACGAACTTTCGCCCATGATTAAAGGCGGCGAAAGTTCGTCAACATCCATGCGCAGTCGCGCTTTCTCACCTGCTATATATTTATGTGTCAGTGTGCGCGCAATGGCGGCGGCGTGTGTTTACAGTTGAAACGCTACAAATGCCTGTGTGTGTTACATCCTTTGCTAGCGTCTATTTAAATGCGCATAATAAAGAACATAACGAACTATGATGTACGTATCCAGTTATCTCTTTAATTGTACAGACTTAACTATGCATCCTCCCATAACGGGGCGAATGCGTATAGTCGAGGTGCGCGAGTCACATCACTTAACTTACGAGGTTATAGCTGAAAGTAGCCGGCTCTGACCAATCTCGTCTTAATTGCAATCAATGTCTCTGACTCTCTTTCCGATCTCCCTCTCTCTAGTCGAACACGCGGTTATATACTCGCATAGGTAGACACGCCTACCTATTGTTTATGGTCAGTCCGCACTACGTTACTGTCTGTAATTGGCTATTTCTACCACTGTCTAGTCCAGCGTTATATTTACACAGCTGGACTGTATGCCAACCTGGAACAATATCTTATTCTTATATATTTATTAGCTCATCTGACATAGTCAGATGCAGCTTGTAGAATCGCATGATTGTCCGTCCGTCCGTCCGTCCGTCCGTCCGTCTGTCTTGCGTGCGTGCGTGCGTGCCTGTGCGCGTGTGTGCTCAGTCTCGGGTGTGTGCGTGCGTGCATACCCAAGGGCCCTGTCACTGTGGCCCTGTCTTTCCAGCGCGATCGAAGCGCCCTCACCACCAAGTCACCACCAGTCACCGCCCAGTCACCACCAGTCCCCACCACCACCCCCAGTCACCCCCAGTCACCCAGTCTCCACCACCACCAGTCCCCACCCGTCACCACCAGTCACCACCCCACCAGCCACCACCACCAGTCACCCCCACCTTTGGTCACCACCAACAAACAATGGTCGTTCGTGCAACAACAAACTATGAATTAAAATGTCATCAGGAAACGGTAGAACCGCAGGTAGAACCACACCTGCACCGGATCCATCATGGCCGTCGCAAACATGAACAAAGCTGCGCTGTTTAACTTATTCGTATAATTTCTCTTTGATGACGAGAACGAGATTCTCCGACCATCGTTAGATTTGCTCAAGGAAGCTACGGTGCTCGTAGTTGTAGTTGCCGCCCAACGTCGTCCGTTCAAGCCGAGAATCATGTTCTATGCTGATGATGTTGTATCAGCGTACAACATTGACGACTTTCGGAGCGTTTTCGCATGTCTAGAAGTATTGTCAAATTGTCAATTATCAACTAGTGTAAACAACAGGATTGCAACTATTATTTAGTAGAATAAATTTGTAATAGGCCTACAACAGTACAAGAGACTCGATCGTTCAATGAATATATATAAATATTAATATTTAATAATAATATCATCAGGTGATCGTCAGGGTTGTCTTACGAATATTTTAGGTCCCCAGAGCATAATAATAAGGCAGTGGTTACGGATCCACACGTGTATCTTTAGCAAGATACCGTACACCTGTATCTTTACAGGGGTAGCAGTCCCATTTTTTTGCTACGTTTTCCAGCTATACTTCCCCCCATGGACCACGACCACGACCCCGACCGCTACATCAGCTGGCGTGCCTTCAGGGACGACGTCGCCTATTTCGAGGCGACGCACCCGGGAATGACGGTGCGGTACGACGCGGCCGTAGACGGCATGCGGTTCCTCCACCTTATGGGTGGAGTAGGCGCCGGCACCGCCATCCAGGCACCACGCCGCATGCCCATGGAGCTCATGAGCGCAGAGTCACTCTTGCAGCTCCACGCGGACGACGACGACGACGACGACGACGACTTCCACGACCACTGGCACGACGACTATGAAGCCTTCAACGACGCCGCCCCAGCCCCAGCCCAGCCGGACTACTGGCCAGTGGAAGCCGAGGACTGGGACACAGACGCCCCAGCCCCAACCAGCCTCGATGCAATAGAACCACGGGGACACAGGCGCCCCAGCCCCCACCCAGCCCATCTAATGATGTATTGATGTATTGATGTATTGATGTATTGACGTATTGATGTACTCACGTATTTAGGTAGACCAATAAATTGTGCCCTAAACATTTTTATATTCTGATATTATTTTAGGGCCCAATAGCCTTCCATAGACAAAACCTGTGAATTTTGTCGTGCAAAATGCACGACAACCTTTTCACTATTTACGGCCGTGTTACATAGAAAATCAAAGAAATACCTAAAGCCATCGCTTTATTAACATCTGACCTACATTACAAAACACTTGTCATGCAGTATTCACCTCTTTAATCACGTTTATTTTATTAAAACATCACGACTTAAAAATCACGCAAACTTCGCTACAAACAAAACTGGCAATCTTGCATTGAACCGTAGCGGACAGCGATGATTTCATTGGTTCAAATTTTTAATATTTTCTGCTGTTTCCATAAACGAACCCCTTCCATGCACATACCCGGATCTCCTTTCCCAAAGCATGCAAAGTCATCACACACAAAGCATGGTCGTGGTACGAACACACGCTCGCGCGCGCACACACACACGCACGCACGCGCACGCACGCACGCACGCACGCACAGAGAGAGAGAGAGAGAGAGAGAGAGAGAGAGAGAGAGAGAGAGAGAGAGAGAGAGAGAGAGAGAGAGAGAGAGAGAGAGAGAGAGAGAGACGAGAG